ATTTACATGCTTCCAATCACAGATAACGTTATTATATACCACCCTTTGCATTCTGTCCTGTAAAAAATTCAGCCACCAATTAACAAGACTGGTTTAGAGTGATGTCTTTCAGTTTGTTAGCAAAAAGTTGGTGGTTTACAGAGTCAAATGCCTTGTCGAAATCCATGGTGAACATCTTGACAGCGATGCAGTTGGGATCGTCAAGGAACTTGCACACTTTATGCTGAATCAAGATAAGGGCATCTGTACTTGAACTGCCTTCCCTGTACGCGAAAAGCGAGTTGCTCGGATTGTCCCCTACAATCTCCTGAGCATGGAGCTTGTAGACAACTTTCTCAAAGGTACGAGCGATGACGGGTGTCACGTTGATTTCCCTGCAGCAGTCCCTATTGCCCATCGGAATCTCCAGTTTGGGGAGAGGGTTGATGTTGGCCCTCTTCCATGATTTTAGCGTGAGTGGAGAGTGACATGTTCCACAGGCTGGTAAACAGTAGGTGTAAATATCTCAGCCTGGTCTCTCCATACCCAATACGGGATTTGGTCCGGACCGGTGGCAGTTTTCTTCAGCCCTTTTACCTGGGGAGGGTGGGGAACTCAACAAATGTTTAAACGGGGATGCTCTGCCTCGAGGTCCAACTCCTTACCCTTTAATATACCATTTTCACGAAAAAGGTACCCCTTCTATTGACAAATGGTACCCCTTTTACATACCTTGTTTAGAACTTTCCATCCCTTTGAACTGCTTTAAATGCACTGTCTTTTAAACAGGAAACAATTACAAAATAGAGCGTTTTCTCGACTTGATAAAGCCATAAAATTCATCTGTTAGCCCTTTTGAGCCCTTTCACAGACCCAAATGACAAATTTCCCTACTCTTTTGTATATTTCAACTAGTGAAATCCCTACCCTATCATACACCTGAAGCCTGAAAAAGGTACCCCTTTCGGGCGGAGTCTCCCCATATAGGCCATCATAGGGAGTACCCCCTCGCGTCTTTTTAGTGCGTAGCAGACCTGTCGTTCACTTTTTGATGAGTCAGGCCTAAAACCAAGTGCTACTGACACTATTTCTTTCTCACTTGAATACGTGTAGATCTTCACTCATTACTTTGTGCGTGATCATCCCATTTAGTCCATCAACTAGGGGGGTTGTATGGCTCACTCAAGGAGAACAAAAAAAACTTGTATAATCTTAATCTTTGACTAAAAAGCATCTAAAAAATGCATGATAAGAAGGATAGAGTGGAAGCTTTCACTTTGTAAATAGAATTTTCATATTTCCACTCATACCCTTTGTTTTGTCGCCATATTGATAAACAAACCTTTGATTCCCTTCGGGTTTAGAAAATATAACATAAATATGTATTTCATTTGCATTTGCAAACATCACACGCTGAAAAAAGGGTTCCTACGCATGAGCTGCAGAAAGAGTTATACAACATGTTTCCCCCACCCCCTTAAGAGGGATCTAGATGGTTTAACTACCCTAAAGAAAAACACAACAAGACAGGTAAAAATATAATTGTTTACTGCTCTCAACAGTGGACATACGGCTTATCTGTATTAATCCTCTACATTCTTAGAGTCGCAGATTTATTATAGTCTATGCTTTCTTGCACATACCAGATATTAATTTCCGGACCTCTTCTGGAGCCGGCCAACGTACAAGCCACTCAAATGGCAAGACGTTAGGCCTATATACATTCTGTACTCAAAGTGCCTACGAGGGGAGAAGAACAATGACTTTTCTTAAGTTTGCGGTTGGTAATTGCTCTGGTCTAAACATGGCGGCAGACTCTCTAGCTTGACTTTCCCGCCTTGCAGTGGATCTCATAACGCAGCACATCCACAATTAGAGGCTTCTTTCAGCATAGTTCACACGCAGGTGCTCCCCGATACTCACCATAGCTCAGACGTACCCTCCATTCAGTTGGAGAAGCTGGACTGCTTCCACTTCCTTTTATAACATAACAAAAGTAAATCGCGCGCTCTGATTGGTCAGTTAGCCACTACCATTTGCCCGCGGGTTCACGCTAAGAAACTGAGCTAGGGCGGTAAAATTTAGGCAAATTCAACAAATCTCCTCTCCTGACGGTAAAATACACCGATGAAATGCACAGATGAAAAGTGGAAGGTGAAGAAAATACTAAGCTGTCGTTTTGAAGGAAAAAAGACAAAAGATCAAGCGACAAATTTGCCCTGGATGAATTAATGACTGTTTTCCTCACGGCTAGAATCGGCTGGAGGAAAATCGAGCGAGCGAAGATTTAAGGTACATTTTGTGTGTTTTTTATAGAGGAGAAAGTCTGTTTGAAATGTAAATTTATCAATTACCATTGTGTTATTGACTTTTTGGTCAAGCTGATGCTAAATTCAAGCAAATATTTTAGGAAACACGCTCAAATTCGAGACAGCTTTGTTGTGAAGTTTTCATCGCATCGATTAACAATTTTAGTTGAGTTTAAACGGGCACATAACGCTGGAAAAAGCGAATTTCATTT